ATCCATCCACATTTTATTAAGGATATAAGGAATGAAAGTACATAAAGATTGATGTCTTACATGTCTAATCTCAGCATCAGCATGCACCCATGCCTCTTTTTTCTCACTAAAATGTGTCTTTTTGTACAACTCAACAAGTCCAAGTTCCTCTCCAATGGCACGTTCTCGCTGTGCCATTTATAGCGCACATTAAACCTCTAAAGTTCCTCTCCAGTGGCACGTTCTCGCTGTGCCATTTATAGCGCACATTAAACCTCAATATAGATTACGTTGTTCAATTACAATTACAAAACATAAATTATAGATTCTATAATTAATACCTCATCATATTGCACTTTTCTGAAGGCCTTCGAGCCAGCAGTGTGGAGGACTTTCATCTTCTCCCGATTCAACTTATTCTTGCCACATCTCACCTATTATTAAATGCATAAGTCAGAGTACAAAGTGTTTCTTTTATTATTAAACATTTCTCATCTACAGGAAATATAGAATTGGAGATAACAGGTTGATTTGGGTTAAGTACATCCCAAATCAGAACACTTGTTTGTTGGTAGGCTTTCATCACTTTCACTTGCAAACTAACAGAGTGAAGTACTAATGTAGAATTGTTTTCTAGTGACAATTTGAGTCCGTGATTGTGAAAATAATGCTTCCAAGCCTACGAGCATGTGACTCTTACAGTACACTCAACTCAATTCAAAAACCTCCATATGAGGACAACCAGATAGTAAGATTTTTCATGCATGTTGGGTTCTGATCTTTGAAAACAACAACCAAATCTAATTCTCTCTCTCACAAGTTAAAAATCAACAGTCAAACTTTTGCATGCCAATCATAATAAAGCACATAGTCAAAAAATAAAATATGCATATTTTTCTTAATGCGTAAAGTAGTCTTTCCCATAATGCAAAAGCCTCTTAACAGTTGATCCAACAAAAATCTACAACTTCTCTTAGTTGTGTTAACTCCAGAATTACAAAGATGCATTTCCTTTTCTTTCATAAATTCCTTGTTTAAAGATTCAACAAATTCACAAGCATTCTACAAGTTGATGTGTATTTTACATCAAACTCAGCATTTAACTTCTAATAGGAACACAATTACTGTTCATACCATAGCATATTATGACACGGAGCTTAGGGCACTTCATATTTAAACCACTATGTTTGACAGAAAATGAGACAAGATTGACAACGTTACCTTATAGTCCTTGTCAGACCACTTTTCGCACAAAAACTTCCACGTCTCTTTTTCCATGTTTTCGGGTGGATCCGCAAGGGCAGATTCCATTGTGGGGAAACTTCTAAAGCATTGTCGTAGGTCATGGCGATAGTTCTTATACCGGCCGTGCATCAAATTGAGGATAGATTCGATAGCATAGGGTTCATTGGTAAACTTAAAACCTTCCTGTCATACCAAACAAGAAAAAATTAAACCACATTAAAACCTTCCCTCAAAGTTATTTATGGTGCTTGTTAATTATTGTGCTAGAAACAAATAAATGGTACAAATAGTGCTTATCAAAATGCTTGATGAAATAATGTGGGAAGAGGAAATTTACTTGGGAAATAACTATCCATAAAATAATTTGGAAAGAGGAAATCTAAATCTCAGCAATTGTACCACTTACCTGAAGGTATGCAACCAATGTTTCTTTATCCTCTTCACTAATATCACTCCACGATGGCACATTTTGTGGGGAAAATTGCCTAGTGACAATCCCTAATTCACTAGTAAATTTTTCAGATGCTTCACCATATCGTCGTCCACTAACCTTACAAATCTGAATAGGCAGTCGCACCCGTTGATTTTTTAGCCTGGCCAATTTGAGGCTTCGTGACTTCGCACGTCCTCTCTTACCCTTGGATGTGCCTACTAGAAACAATGAAAAAGTATCATGTTAATATATAGATTGAAAAGACGAGACCACCAACCAAAACAAAACATAAACTTAAAATATTTACAAACCATCAGTGCTAGAATATGTGCTAGAAGTATCCGAGTGTAAAACTTGTGACGTAACTTCATGTACCGATTCTGATGTAAATAGGTGCAGCGTAGATGATCGAACTGATTTAATGGATGCATGAGGTCCAGGTGTTGATTGAGTGGATGAGCGAACTGATTTAGTGGATGCATGGGGTGTAGGCGCATGGAGTCTAGGTACATACCCTGCTCGTCCTCTGCCTCTTGTGGACATACCTGTTGACTATAAGCCAAGTCAGTCGTTGCCAGTGTTGCAAGATAGTCTTGCCATTAAGAAAGAAAAATAATTACATTTGATAACATCCCAACAGATCTGGTCCAAGTTTCACTGCCAATCAGAAGTGTCATTAGGTGGACAAATCATATAGTGGATTATGCACAACGCAAGTTACCAGATGCACATTTCTTTACAATTTCCCTTTTATTGCAGAATTGAAACTGCTACTGACCAACTCACTTACAGCCCTCAAGACTAGCTCTCAAAATAATGGAAATACATAAATTATAGTACACCTACCAAGAACAAAGTTTTCACAGATTTGCCAAACTGCCTCTGGTTTAAGTAATTAAATTGCCCAAATTAGTCAACATTTGGAAACATTAAATGAAACAACAGGGCTTTGCAGAGTAATCTTTAATTATACATTAGCATTCATGCAAATATGTTACTCCTGTGGATTCATCATCACTCCTTAGTCCCAGACTTCCAACTAAGCATAATTGCAAGGAGACCTTTTCACAACTAATATTGAAAGATGCAAAATATCCTTAGTAAAATGGCACATTCAGTAAATAACATCAAGTAGATTTGTATAGATTTGTATTTTTTTAAAAAATAAATAAGATTCATATTGGAAATTCAAGAACTCTTCAACACATAGAAAAAGAACAACATTATTTCACTCAACCTATATAACTGAAAGTATAAAAAAAGGGACACTTCCAACGAAATCAAACAATATATACAGAATTTCAAAAGCCTTAGAAAATTAAATAGCAGCAAATTTCATTGACTATCATCACTATCATAATTAATCATATCATCATTGACTTCATCATCTTCAAGTTTCTCCTCGTGGAATTCGCCATCAATATCAACACATATCATTTCCATGTCTTCTTTGCATAATTCTATGGGTTGATCATCCATTTGCACTGCATCTCCAAGTCCAAATGATTCAAATTCTTGGTATGGTTCATCATTGTCTTTTTCTTCCTCTTCGTCTTTCTCTTCCTCTTCACCCCCTTTCACTAGAATGTCATATATTGCCCGAGGTATTATTCTTTATCCAACTCTATAATTGTTGCCAAATTTCATGTCCTTCATATAAAACACTTGTACAGCTTGGCATGCTAGCACAAACGGTTCATCCTTGTACCAAGTTCTTGTATCATTCACACTAACATATTTATAATCATCGAATTTCATTCCATTTTTTTCATTGCCAACATCCCACTAATCACACTTAAAGAGGAACACCTGATTTCTCCCTAGATATTTCAACTCGACTATATCTCTAACAACTCCATAAAAATCAATAGCTTCTCCTTTATGGTCACCCTTAACAACCACACCACTATTTTGAGTTTTTCGGTTCATGTCACGATCTTGAGTGTGAAATCTGGTCCAATTGATAATGCAACCACTGTATCGTGTCACTCGACTATCAAGACCTCGGGCTAGGTTCATAAGTTGATTGGAAGCGTCCATGGTCCCTTCAAGTTATTGCTTTGTGACCTAATTCCATTTATGATGTGAAATGTATTAGCATATACTTAGCTACATTATTTAAATGCACAAATAAGGTTAAAAATTTATAGCTCTTACATATTTTAGAAACCATGTATGAAACTCTGATTCTAGCCTCTCTTGAACATTTCTCAAACCTTATCTCTCAAGTTCATCCATGTATTGCCTATAAATTATTACACAACATTATTTGACACATATAATTGTGAAAGTAGTACAATTCAACATGAAAATTTTTCTAGTGAATATAATCATATGGTGGTTTACTTACCTCACATACAGTTGAACTTCATCACAATTATTCAACACATACCATTGAGCTTTCTTCAAATCTTTTAAATTCAACACATCATTAATTGCAACTCCTATTCCACGTACTTTTTGCTTAAATACAAAAATATTTCCATCTTGTGTAGCTTTAATAGGCCCATCATAATTCCGCTCTGGTCTATTAAATTTTGTCTCACCTTCGTTGAAGTACATAGAGCAAAAGGTAAGAGCCTCATTATCAATGTAACCTTCAGCAATAGAGCCTTCTGGACGGGCTTTGTTACGCATATAGCCCTTAAGAACATGCATGTACCTCTCAAATGCATACATCCACCGGTATTGCACCGGTCCTACAAGGATTGCTTCACGTGATAAGTGTACACATAAATGGATCATAATATCGAAAAAAAGATGGTGGAAATATCTTCTCAAGCTTGCACAAAATTAAAACAATATCTTTCTCAAGTTGTTCTAAGACATCAACTCTCAATGTTTTTGCCGATAACTCCTTAAAGAACAAGCAAAGCTCAATTAAAGCCTTGCTCACATCCTTTTTCAAACATCCACGTAGGGCAACAAGAAGCAATCTTTGCAAGATAACATGGCAATCATGGCTTTTCAACCCTTTAATTCGACAATCACTAGTGCTCACACAATGTGATATGTTTGATGCATAGCCATTTGGCAACTTAATTGTACTCAAGAATTCACAAAAACTCCTTTTTTCAGTTGGAGAGAGCATGAAGCAAGGAGTGGGTAGGCAGGTTTTTCCATCTACTTGCCTTGGGTGTAATTCAGGCCTTATACCCATAGCCACTAGATCAAGACGAGCCTTGTATGAGTCCTTGGTTTTTCCATCAACATTCATCAATGTTCCCATCACACTATCACATACATTCTTTTCAATGTGCATAACATCAAGGTTGTGGCAAACTTTGAGGGCTTTCCAATAAGGTAACTCAAAGAAGATGCTTCTCCTTGTCCAATTTAAATATTAAGGAGAACGTTTTCGCTTCTTCCCACGTTCATCTATCCTCCCAAATATTGTCGAGTCAAGATGCTCCAATTGTCCCAAAACCTCCTCCCCAGACAACAACTTGGGTTTCGATCTATGCTCTGGCTCACCATTGAATGCCTTGCTTTTTCGTAAAACGTGATTATGCGGCAAAAAATGACGATGTCCCGTGTAACAAGTTTTCTTCCAATGATGCAAGTATTGGTGAGATGCATCCTCATTACATGAAGGACAAGCCAATTTCCCTTTGGTGCTCCAACCGGATAAGTTACCATATGCAGGGAAATCGTTGATGGTCCATAACAATGCGGCACGTAATTGAAAACTTTGGCCATTTGATGCATCGTATGTTTCTACCCCTACCTCCCATAACTCCTTTAACTCATCTATCAATGGCCGTAAAAACACATCAATGTCAAACCCGGGAGCCCTACGCCCAGGAATAAGCAAAGGCATCATAAAAAATGGATCCTTCATACATTTCCATGGTGGTAAATTGTATGGGACAAGAAAAATCGTCCATATGCTATATGAGTTACTCATGTTTCCAAACGGGTTAAAACCATCGCTAGCTAGTCCGGGCCTAACGTTACGCGGATCTTTGGCGAAAGACTCATGCTTTTTGTCAAAGTCTTTCCATGCTTCAAAATCAGCCAGATGACGCAATACATTTTCCTCCTCTACACGTTTATCCCTGTGCCACTTCATATCAGTAGCCGTCTTCCTTGATATGAATAGCCTTTGTAGCCTTGGTTTTAAAGGAAAGTATCGCAGAACCTCGTGAGGGATCTTTTTACCTTTACCTTTACCTTTACGAACTTTGTATCTTGGCGCTTTACAAGTAGGACACTCATCTTCATTTTCATACTCCTTCCAAAAAAGTGCACAATCGTTCTTGCATACATGTATTTTTTGATAGTCGAGGCCCAAATCTTGAATTATTTGTTTAGCCTCATTGTAAGAGCATGGAAGCGTTTCACCAATGGGAAGTGCCTCCTTCAACAATTCCAGCAACATCGTGAGTGATTTGTTACTCCATCTATTAAATATCTTTAGATGTAGCAACTTAACCATGAATGATAGTTTGGAGAATCGTTGGCAATCCGGATACAAATCTTGCTCCGCATCCCTCATTAATCTTGCAAATTTATTTGTTTCTCCACCACAACTACTTGGTAAGTCAGGATTACGACTACTAGATGCTTCTCCCACATAACCAAATGTGGTTGTTCCACTTCGTATGTCATGAATAACTTCTCGCACCTCAGTATTGGGACTATTTGATTTCTCTGTCACATTGTCGAGATATTCGTCATTTTCATTTTGTGAGTCATCATTATCATTCAACTCAAAACCTTCCCCATGATACACCCACCTAGTGTAACTCGTGACCACCCCATATGCATACGAATGAATTTCAACTTACTCTATGGTTTTTTGAATATGATTGTTGCATCTATAACATGGACACCAAATCTTATCTGCCCCTGGTTTCATATGATCACGAGCAAACAAGATAAATTCCCTCACCCCATCAATGTACTGAGGTGACCTTCTATTACGACGTTGCATCCAACTCCTATCATGGTGCAAAAGAACTAAAGAAGAAAGAGGAAAAAAAAAAAGAAAAGAAGGTAAAAGCTTAAAAAATAGGAAACATAATGCTACAATTTCCGACTCTAATAAAACAAGCGAATCAAAATAAATTGAACAATGCAATCAATCGAATTGGCATCTACATTTCCAAATAACACAAATATAATCAAATCAAACAAATCAGGATTAGATCAAACCATATCATCAAAACAAAAGAAACATCAGATTAAGCATTAATATAGGGATTCTACGAATTCTTCATCACCACACAATCACCCCCTCAAAAAATTCTAAATGGATAAATCTTGATTTTAGATATTTAGGTAGATAGATCATTGGTAGTCCCAAACCCTTGTTTTTGAAAAACTCTAACCAAGCAAAGTGATTACTATCATTTTATGAGACCTAAATCCAAGAAGATACATGTATAAATCAACAATATGTGAAGAGCATATAAATAGTAATACAAAGAAGAATAAATTACAAGCTCAATTCCCTTGTTCCTTTTAACCAAAAGTTGTGACTGTCATAAAATTTCATAACTCAATAAAAAGAGCTAAATTAAAAGCCTTTGTGTGCATAAGGGGAATTAACACAGGTAGTTGAAATAAGCAATATTACAAGCTCAGTTCCCTTGGTTCCTTTTAACCAAAAGCTGGCAGGTGGCATTGTAACAAGAAGGCAACCATAAAACCAATTTCAAAGTGGGGTAACAAAAAACCATAATCATTTTTAAACTCTCCCTACTTGAAAGAGGAGCAAGCATGCATGAAAAGTGCAAAACCATGCTAACAAGCTTCAATACTCAAATAAAAATACAGAACTAACTAGCAGTACAGGAAAACACAATCACCAGAAAAATGCAATCACACAATAAATTGCAAATCTCAAAGTCCTTCATCATGATTTCAGTAACCTCACAAGCAGTCTACTCCAATTGTAAAGAATGAACCGTAAATCCTAAGTTTAACCTTGACATTGCATTTGACATAAATTATAACCCATAATTTGCAGGAAATAAGTTTAACCTTTAAGTGAAATTGTTACATAATTCTACAGGTTAACAAATTATAGGTACTACATTCAACCACTCATAATTCCATTTGCCCTCTGAATGTGAAATTGTTCCCCTCACTCCATCATGGCTTCACATTAACAGAGCATCGGTTGGATGATCTATGATGGACTAAGGCCTAGATTGGATATGATCCTCATCATTACATGAATGAATGTAGCAAATGTAGATTGATAGGAAATTGAACAACAATTTAAATATAGGCAATTCATAAATATGATAGTCGATTATCAAATAAGTTGATAATATGTGGTACCTGATTGGAATCGCAACCGGAGATTCTCCGAGAAATTGGAGAATCAAGGAGAGACAAGGTGGCAACGGAGCAATCCAGATATCGAATCGGTAGAGAAGAGATATATGAAAAGAAATTAGGGATTTGAGAGAGAAGGAGAGAGAAAGGAAGAGAGTGAGTGATGAAACCTTTTTTTTGTGTTTGTTTTTTATAGTCCCCGATTATTGAGTTCATAAATTAATATATGAAATATAATAATATATGATTTGGGTTTATTAGAGGCCAATTCAAATGGTAGGGATATGATTTGGGTTTATTAGGGACCAATTAAAATTGTAGGAAAAAGTGATGGGTTTATTAGGGACAAACTAAAATTGTAAGGAAAAGTGATTGATCCTTTTACAACCAAATAAATTTGTCTAGAAAATGTAATAACATGATTAAATATAATTTTCAAAAAATTCTTTCATTTTGTCCTTAAAAGTATAATTTTTACAAACAAATTATTTTTGTCCTTAAAATTTGTCTTTAAAACCTTAATTTCTTGTAGTGTGAGTAAGTCAGAGGCTTAGTTTCCATAGTCCAATGACATAAGCTGGGCTGGGACCTTGCCTACATTGGTAATGCACTTGATGAACATAAGCAGGGCCAACGGCTTGACTATGATGCTATCAAATGGGGTATGAAGATTGATGGAGTTGGAGTGAGCCATGGTACTGCCTATTAAGTCAGGCTCAGTTGTTGGGCTCTTCATATTGTAAGTCATTATTATGCTGTGTATACCGCCGCTTAGGCTAGGCGTACAACCCCAATCAATCCTATGAGGATGTTGTGGTGCCTTGTTAGTTTGCCACGTAAGTATGGTTCCGATAACGCGGGCCCAAATGGCTCAATAGATATCGAGTGTGATATTACCTACAAATATCTATGGAAGGAAGGACTCAATTAAATAAGGAAAAGGAATGCATTTTGGGACTGTTTTGGGGGCGGTGAACAGTTACCATGAACACTGTTATGGTGTTGTTAATGCGCAGAAACTATTAGAAAGGAAGAAGAAAAAGATAGATTTAGGAATCACTCCTAGAGACCTTAGGCATCATGCTTAGGGTTTGATTGCATTCACACAATCCTTAAAATAAAGTTTCAAAGCTCTAAAAATACATGATTTTCTAGAGTTTAGAGATTTTCTTCAGTAATGATGACTAGGATTTCAAAAGAGGATCTAAGAACAAAGAAAACCATAAACAAATAACCAATTTAATAGCTTTACTCAAAAAACAACCCATGGGTAACACATATAGCCTATGTCCAGAAAATTCTGAAATTAGGAAAATACCTCTGAACTTAAAAAATTGCAAGCAAACTACATAACATAAAAAGAGAAAGGCTAAAAGATAGCCATCTAAGGTCTTAAGTGGGTTGCTCATTATCTAATACATGCAAGATCAAAGCTCAAGCCTTAAAAGCATTTCTTTTGTGCCTCTTGTACACATGAAGAGGTTGTTTCCACTTGCCTCCATCACATTACTAAAGTACACATTACCAAATTTATATTAAACTATGCCTCGCATATTATGTCATGGTATATGTCTGCTGTATGACTTTCTTCTTTGCTAATTGCCTTGGGTTCCTTACTTTCTAGTTGATTTCTCAAGTTGCAACTTATTCACTATGAAGCAGAGATGCTTCTAAAATGGAGTCATATCAGTATTGTATTCGTATTGGATACTATAGATTCGTATCCGATATTTGATATTAATTTTCTTTAATTTTGAGAAGTATCGATGCTTTTGGAATACTCTAAATCATGTATCCAAACTATTTTGAAAGAGAGATAACGTACAATACTTTTCAAAATTTATTGAATTGCCTTACGCTTATGTGTCATATACGCATCCTATATCCATATCTATAACTTCTCATAAAGTTAGAATAAATAACAAAATATAATGATATACTATTTTGATTTCAATAGTTAAAAGTAAGTTAAGTTGCATACAACATTTTTGCATATAACTCATTTAAGTATGAAAGGGAAAAGTACATGGGCAATAAAAACATTTTAGACTTGATATCAAAATGGAATTTTCATAGGATTTACTGGAAAAAAAAGTAATTGGTGCCCATTGGCTCTTCAACTAATATTCAATTCTAAATTTCTAAATTGAGCTTAAATATAATATAACACTAAAAATTATAAAAATATTATTTTTCAGGAACTTATCCTGGTTGTACCTATGTCCTATTTTTTAGGTTTTTTCGTATTAGCGCATATGTATCGTATTGTACTCATATCTTGTATACATGCTTGATAGACAATTCATTATGTTTTACCTCACCACTTCAAATTGTGGTGTTAAGAGCATGATGGAAAGAAAAAATGGGAGAAATATGAAATTTCACATGAAGTACTACATTTTGGGTATCATGGAAACAAGTTTTGGACTAATTTTGAGCATTTGTTTATTTTAAATTAGCATGGCTTGGATAGATTTTGTCATTAGTATTCAATAGCCCAAACCCACCATAACTACTGGAGGCAGCCTTGGGCTAGGTTTCCTAGAACTGTCCTATGGAAAGAAGTTTTGGACTAATTTTGAGCATTTGTTTATGTTTATTTTAAATTAGCATGGCATTGGATAGATTTTGTCATTAGTATTCAATTGCCCAAACCCACCAAAACTACTGGAGGCAGCCTTGTGTCACGGCCTTGGATTTTCCAAGCCAATTGTGCGGCTTTAGATGCTTATCAACCCACTTGGTTGCACCTAAGTCAGCCTTCCCCACTCACCCACACTAACTAAAACACAAAGTTTAGGTGGAAGAATGTATTCACTATACAAGTGTAGTTGTGTACAAAGCTTTACAAGGCTCTCACCCTCACAAGTGCTTGACTCTTAAAGCTCCCTTGGATCTCCTCTCTTCTTCTCTATTATGTCTTCTACAAATGAGACCCCTCCCCATATATAGCCATCCTCCTCTTCAATGGATGGCTAAGATCATTTTGATCCAAGGGCTACAAGCTTTCCTCTAAAACCCTCCATAGAAATATCTAGGACAACTACCCTTCTACTACCTTCTAGAACTCTCTATACTAGTGTAGTACATGGTAGGCTTCTCCATGAGATATTCTAGGATGTTCCGGATCCATCCAGACTCTTCTGAACCCTCCAAGGTTCTTCCACCATGTTCCAGAATCTTTTAGGCCACTACGAACCCTTCCACCAGGTTCTAGAGCCTTCCAGCATATTCTAACCTGTTTTCACACCTTCCGGAACCTTCCAGCGCCTTCGACACACCTCAAACGCTGCTCTTTGTGTCACAGAAATTCTCAGGGTGTGACACTTGGGCTAGATTTCCCAGAGCTGTCCTACATCAGTTTCTGTTTAGCAATCGTGTTTAAATTGTAATGTTCACTTTGTGTTAGCGCATGCTGCATTTGCTTTTTTCACTTTATTTTTATTTACTGAACTATTAAAAGCTGTTCAAAATGCCAGCAAGTCCCTCTCAATTTATTACTCTACAGCTCTCTCTCTCTCTCTCTCTCTCTCTAATAGTTGGGGTCCATATTTTGACAATTCTCTTGGTGTTGAATGACCACTATTTCAGAATGATTCTTTCTTATTTGTACCAATGCAGGAAAGAAAGGTAAAACTGGTACAGTAA